TAAACAAACTCATACTATTATAAATAAGAGGTGGTGTCTGTCTGTGTGTCTGTGTGTTTCTATTAGATAAACTCAAAAACTACTGAACAACTGAACCGACTGGGCTCAAATAACACACATGAAGCCGAAATCGTGAACCTATTTAGGCTAACTAGGATACAAATCCAATGATAGATTTTAAGGTATAACAAAATTAACATGTTAAATGGTCTGTAGGCCTACTGTAAACAAAAAGCTATCAAAATAGTTCCAAACCCGTCAACAGTGTAGTTTTCTAACATATTTTAGTGAAATTATAATCAGGTATATGGAAAATCACAATCTGTGTTAACGTAAACGTACTATTACTATTATCAAGTTAAGTCATACAGTTCAATTTCGTTTCTAAATTAAATGGTAGGAGGGAAACCATTTTAAGATATTTTCAAAGTACCAACATTGTCTCTTTTGCACACTGACCCCGTTGCAAGACACGGGTATAAACAAACTCACAAACCATGTTTATGAGGACGCTACAACCAGGAAGTAGGACTCGTACCTAGGACATACCACGAAAGCCTAATATTATTACTAATATTAGACAAGCTAAACCCTTACCAAAATTCGTCAAAATGATTCAACTCTATAAACAAAAGTCGGCTACCAATGTCATTGTCCTCGGCTTCACAAACAGGCAGTAATGTTGACAGCGAGCTCACTTTCACTTTCCCGCCAAAAGAAAGTGAAAGTGATGTTGATACTCTTCCTCATTGCCGCCTTTCTTATCGACCTTGGCTACAGACGACGCATCGGACATTGACAGTTGTTAAGGTTAGGTCACAGACAATGGTAATTATATTGTCTGTGGTTAGGTTCTCACATGTAACGTAACTAACGCGTTCAATCATTGTGTTTTGCGGTCCTTAATTGGGTTGTTATTTACGCTCTGTCTCTCACTCGAAACGCCCTCGTTAGTTAGGATTTAAAAATAAGATAATTTAAATTATGATACTAAATGAATGCTGTTCTGAAAGAAACCTAGGTAATATTGCGCTTTGTATTAATTTGAAACGGTACTTTATCGGTTTCAAATAGACCACATATTTGGTAAATAGCTATTTGTGTAAGAGTGCTATGACTGTTTGTGCTCGTAATACACACACGATTTTTCCTACCACCATTATTAACTTATAATAACACACAGATTACCTTTTTGGATGTGTAAAAATGCAAATTTTAGGTTATGTTTGCTCACATTAAAGTCATGCTATTTGCCAGTTGTTAACTCAGGTATTGGATCCGCGGCTGTGGTTGGTGAAGAAACAACAACTCTGATTAGCGAGCGGGAATGATCCATTCCCACTCTTGAGCGGGCTATAGATGTGGCAATGTGATAATTTCCATGCAGTGGTAGTAACAATATATATACATATATTTTAATTTTTGGTTCCTTACTATTAAGACTCAAAATATTTACGGCGCAACATCTTTATAGTGCATATTTTGTCACGGCGCTCTAACAACATCTTAGAATAAATTATTTATTTAATCCGGATATGTCTCAGTACAACCTTTTCATAGTACCAGCTAATTTTCGATACCAGTTTCTGGTTCTGACCCAAATTGATCACCGGTCCTTGGTATTTGTACCATTTATGTCTAAATACATAGTAAAAATTCTTTGAAAACAAGTTTAATACGTTAAAAAATTTCATATAGAATTTAAAGGTGTGATAATAATTTTATTTCATACAACAAACATAATTGTTGACTTATTGGTGTACAGTATTTGCAATTGCAATCCAAGAATTAGGATCATACACTTTCAAAAGTTTAAGTGTATAAGTTTGCAACTATGGGTGCAGGTATTATTTTTATCATGCAATTGTAAAGAAAATAAAAGTATCCAGGATGTTTATCAGACTGGGTAACCGGTAATTGTCCATTAGGTTTTAGTGAGTGGAATGTTTTAATTTTAAATTATCACCTGCAATTGGCAGGGCGGAAACTAGTTGCAGGCGTTCCGTAAGTTTTCTTCGCGTCCTAAAATCGAATAACGGGCGATGATCACGGATGTTGCCATGTTCGTACCACGTGGTGACTGATGTTATCACGATACTTTTGCAAAGTTTCTGTGGTTTCGTTTTAGACCAAGACGGATTAATTAGACTCATCCTGGAGAGGGGGGGGGGGGGTTAGGTAGGTTAATAGTCCTAATAACCCCACCCCTCTAGTGGTCTACTATTCTATGATAATGTTAATACCCCCGCCGCAGCAAACCTGCAGACTAAGCGAATTTCCATTTCTCTGAATGATTTTCAATTGAATCTATTTAGGTTTAACGAGTACCTAGGTTTGCTGCCACAAGGAAACTGAAACTAATAAAGTGTGTTTTAGTAAAATATTAATAGCTTAGTATAAAATGAATAAATTTGCCTAGTTTGATCAAAATATATCCATAAACAAACAAACTACAACATTTTCAATATTCTCCATAAGAATAACATGGGGATTTTTAATTTACAATTTTTTGAATTTTCTCCGTTACTAATAACCGTACAAAAACACTTTGATATACTAAATTGTTTGTTTTTTAAGCTCTTTAACATGGTCTAGAGATAAATTGGGAAATTTTGTATTTTGGGGGTCAAAAATTAGAAAAACCAATTTTTACCCCATAAAACCCACCGGGAAACCCCGTTCCCATGGTCCGATCATGCTGGTTCGCGAACTCATTCGAGTTTATCTCGCCTTACACCTTTAAACCAAATTTCATCAAAATCGGACAAAAATTACCAAAGTTATCGCCTTCACGGACATATATATATATAAATCTATATATATATATATCAAAATTTGAACGAATGGTGTTTTTGACCTCTGGGGACATAAAAATGAAAAAGTAAATCGGCTCCGGGCCTAGGTTTTACCGTGCCACCTACGGTAATAGCTACTTCCCTATAGGGAAATTCGCTAATAATGAAGTATTTCAAAACAATAGGACCTAACCCTATAATCATACAGTAAAATTTATTTTACACTATAACATCCCCAGTCCGGTAGGATTTCGAATTCCTGGATTGAAATATCACGATATTTTTTTTGTTTAGTTTGGAAAGTTGAGGCAGCACATCACACGTGTAGCCCACCAGATGCAATCAAGACTTTGGATACAGAAAGAGTGAGAGGTAGACATCCCATTGACCTGAACCAGATGTACCATTGATATTAGATATTGGAAGTAGAGTTCACATTTACTTAAACCAGATTTGGCATTGACTTTGGATACTCCATATAGACTTGCCTCTTTTGTGAACCCGAGCCCACTGGGAACAATCAATTCGTCGTTTTCTCAAAATTAATGAATTTACAGTATACGCTTGTTCCGCTCAATATTGGAAGCAGACAACTGTGTATTGCACACCTAGTTAGTTTAATAGTACGGTAATGTTTTAACTAATAGAATATTTTAAATCGCTTCAAAATATTCAACCAGACATTTTGATAAATTCCTACAATATTTTTGAAGAACAAAGTGTACAAAAATTTGGATGATTTTTAAACTGTGTGGGGAAAGTTTTACCTAGTGAATGCCTTTACGTCCGGTTTATGATGGAAGTCGCGCCATTTTTAATGCATATTCTCGGTTCTTCCCAACTTGATTCCGGTCTAGGTCATAAACTTGTGACGCATCTATGTTGGAACATTTTCCTCCACGTGGTGACTACAAAGTTGTAATTACATACTTTGTGTCCAGCAATGATAGTCAATTTTCGGTCATTATTCATACAGTTCTCAGACTACAAATTGCATTGAAGTTCACAATAAACAATGTTGTAACTTTAGGCCTATGTAGTATTGCGATGTGTCCATCTTTTGTATAGTATTGTGGTTAATCGACATTCTACAATATTATTTTGCGTCAATATTATGCAGTAGTGACAAATCCTATACATTTAATCACTGTTCTTAACAATTAAGTTTCAACGATTTTATTTAAGACCACATTAGGGTTGTTGGTTATTTAAAAGCCTCAATGATAAACTCAACGTGTTTAACAATTACGGTAAATATTTTAAAGATGATTCGGAATTCAAAATCTTAACTACCGGTACTAGCCTTGCAACTGGTCTATTAGACCAAAAATCGTGGCTTAATTGATTTATATTAGTTTTAGGCTACATCTTCATGATGGGAATGAAATGTCTTATATCACGGAATCTTTAGCCAAACGTAGACGAAAAACCCAACCGATTTATTCAGGAAACATACTTATGATTGTTACACATGAAAATATAAAAAAGTCAACGTTATGTTCAAGGTTTAATAATATCATTTCATAAATCTAGCTATAAAACTAGGAAACTGGCCAAAGCAGGTTCGTTAAAGCATGAATTAATGCAATGGCTCCCAGCAAAAAGTTGTAACAGGAGTGAAGAATTTAACGATATCATGTGTTGATCTCTAGATAAAGTGTTTGATACTTATTTTATGTTTTCCAATCACCAAATTTTGAATTTTGCCAACTATGATGTCGACGCAACTGGACAAAAAATTAATATGAATATGGACGAAGATTGACCCAAACATTAGAGGAAGATTGATGTAGGATGGAGTGAGACAGGCCTGTGTAGCTTTTTAAATTACTAAAGTTAAAACACAATTTATAAAATTGTTTTTGGCATCGTCGGCACACGTACTTCAAGATTTAACTAATTACAATTCTACTAGCTTATTATCTTTTTTACATATTTCTTGAGCCTATAGTGTCACTTTTACAACTACAGTAATACATCACCCACACGGCCACACATGTATCATATGTATTTTAATAGTCATTATTTAGCCTAGTTTAAAATGATTTGAATACAAATTTACTACATTGTAATCATAGAGAAGTTAATTTACAATAAACAATTGGTGCCAACATTGCTTAGTACCTCTTATCAGCTGAGACGACCACGTCTGCCAACACTGTTCTCTTATCAGCTGTTTCAAAGCTGCGGTTGTTGACTCTTTTAAACCTCAATGTGACTTGGATTTGTTTCTGTGATTTGTTTTACAGTTGTTATGCAATGCCAAGTACTAAAGTTGCAGTGGTAAGTACATTTTGAAATTATTTACAAATATGTACATTTTTATAGGTTATTTTATAGATAGTAAGTTTTGAGTTTGAATAATTATACTAACTAGAGGTCTTCCAGTGGTCGAAAACTCTACCAAAATATCTAATGTATAGACTTCTCTATTTTCACCCCAAGCTGTAAACAAAACATGTGATTGTAATTTCTTCCACTTGTTTTGATTTTCTGTTTATATTTCGTTGTTACTTCGTCACCAGCAAGGCAAACCATAAGGCCCATATTAATAAAAAAAAAATTAAATTCATTTCTTGTGCTTATTTTTGGGCCTATTATAAATTATAAAGGGATTCTGCACACTTACAGGAAAATATCTTTCTAACCGTATGCGTAGATTTTCCCTACGATGCACACGAAAAAAGGTTTTAAAGAATCATGCTTACCTATTAATATATAGATGCCCAGTGCAGTGATAAATGTGTAATGTGTTAAAATGTGAATTAAAATAAAAATCAAATCAAAATATACTTTTGTTCAAAAAAGTACAGACAAAATTGCTTATCTAATCATATTTACATTAGTAAATAAATGTAAAACGTAGGTTTATGGCCTAAATAAATGTTTAACAATGGTTAAACAAAGGTTTGGCCTAGCAGCAGGTAGAATATATTTTACATTTAGTTTATATACGAAAAATCTATTTAAAATACGAAAGGATGGCTAGTCGCCCCTATGAAGTACCGGTAGTAACAACCAGCCTATGAAGTAGATAAAAATATTGATCCCAAAACATAAACAAACTTATGTTGGATGTAGGAACAGTATCGACACCTGAGCAGTAGGAAACCTTTTATATTTGACATTATAATTTGCCTACTACCTATTAATTACAGTACTCGATGGTAATGGTGGCAATACACTCGATGGCAGTACTGTTCAATTGTTTACACATTTTATTAATAAGAGAGATCGAAGACTCTTACCTTCCTGGTCCATCTATATATTTTTTTTAAAGATTATGTACGTTGAAAATTAAATTGAATGCGCGTTTAAATGACTCCAAAAACTTATGAACTTTCGATTTGATATATATTTTACATTTTGAAGCTTATTTATGTTTATAGCTGTTATCTTTTGTGTTCAGTTCATTTAGATAATTTTTCCTACTAGCCTTCACATTTAATATTAAAATCAACAGCTGATCATTGTAAATCTGAAATTTTTTAATATTGTAAAAATAAATATTCCTTTCTGTTCTTCTTGTAGATATGGTTTACAAAACCAATTCAATTTGAAGGCTAGTAGGAAAAATTATCTAAAAGAACTGAACATACTCCCGGCCTTGAAGTGTCTCACTGCAACAGTTAGTTTAGAACAAAACAGTTTGGCCAGTATGACCTTCGGCTGATTCCCCAATTATTTGCACCTTGCACCATCTCAAGGGCAAGTGCAATAATTGCACCCCCCCCAAAACCTGATCTTCAACATCATAACATTGCACTCATACCACTAATTATTAACAATCTACCATCATAACCATTTTCTCTCGTTTCTTCATGCAACATATATGTCTGGTCAGCAAATTAGATACACAGTTCCCCGAGACTGCAGATTATTTTCTTTTATTTTGGTTATTTGCTCTACTTTTCTTCTATTCTAGTAATTTTCTCCTTTTTGAAGGAACTTATGGTTCATTTTAATTTTGGTGTAGAATATCACACAATTCATTGAATGTAATTTTAGAACTTTGTAACAGAAACAACAGTAACAACGTCAGGTTACAGGAAGCAACCAAGGTATTGGTTACAGCATTGTACAGAACCTGTGCAACCAATTCCCAGGAGTTGTGTATCTGACCTCAAGAGATGAGAAGAAAGGGAGAGCTGCTGTGGAAAATCTTAGAAAGGTATTTGAGTTATTTAAAGTTAAACTATACACCCTATCTTAACTGGCACTGCAAGACCTGCATAGATCGAATAAATATGTCGGTATGAACGGGCTTCTATGTAAACATGTTAGCACTGTAAGAATAAAATATTTATTTGTATATCGTAAGAATAAAACGATGCATAAAAATCTTCTAAACTATACTGCACTCAAGCCGCAATGAAAACATCCAACCTGTTCGTCTTGGTGACATAAATATACCGAATTATTGTACCGTAGAAAGAAAAACGTTGTTCTTTGAAAACCCATAAAAAGGTTATTTTCAACCATGGCAATTGCTATTACCGCATTTATAAATACACACACATATTTTGCAATATAATTACCTAAAATTAATTTAATTACTAACAATTTCACATTAAAGTTTACTGACTAAACACTAGGGTGTTTATATATTTGACTAGACATGTACGGACACGATTATATTTTATTATTGAAAGGATGTTAAAGAAAGTCTTGCCAGAAACCAAAACTTATAACCGCCCAGGGTCGGATAATAGAGGGACTATTATTAAATCACTTTTTTACAATTAAACTTCAAAAACGCTCTAGATACAAGTGGTGTGTTAGTCATACTCTTTGCACAAGTTTGTTTTAATACAATACGGTACCGTATTCTAAATCTACTTTAATTTTATTCACCAATCTTCGTGAGCTCACACTATGTCGTTATTCAGCATGAAATATTTAATTAATTATCTATGCTTTAATAAATTGTATGGACAGGAAAGAAACGTGGTCCACCTTCGATGTTGTCTACGCGATTTTATTGTTTAGTGACGATAAGTATGATTATAATGTGTCTTTTTTAGACTACAGTAGTTGTTTCGTTGACACATTTTGAGATCCACACACTTATTTTTTTTTATAAAAAAGCAAACAGGTCTAGCCAAATCAATTAGTTTCAGCTGCATACAAGAAGTAAAGAAGAATCCTTATTTTATGTCGTTTGTAATTAAGGAGAAACAGGTTGTAGTCCTGGTTTCACTACAAAGTACATAATAAACTTGTAACACAGCACCTTTGTAGTACCCGGTACCCTAGATCAAGTATACCCCTTTATGGATTTATTATACTTATGAATCAGATAAAGGTGACACTAAGATATGTTTGTGGACTAGAGTAACACTTGGTTTCATTTCTGTCACCAAATAATGCAGTGTCAAAGATATTTTAACCGCAGTAAAATGCATCTGTAATTTGTCTCACAATTAAAAAATATAATTTATTACAGTTGTCACTGAGTCCAGAATACCACCAGTTAGATGTTTTGGACGAAGAAAGTGTTTTAAGGTTTGCAAAATACCTCAAAGAAAAACATGGAGGGATTGATATTTTGGTTAATAATGCCGCCATGGCATATCAGGTAATATTTGATTTTGTAACAAGTAAAGCTATAAAACAGATAACCAACGGATGTACAGTACATGTGGGCAGAAAATGAGTATGAAATGTACTAAAACAATCATTCATTACTTACGGTTTAAATCTGTCATTTATAAAGCTTTCTTAATACAGGTTTACTGTTTCAAATCTGGATCTACCAATCTGTGAATGCAATTTATGATTTTACATTATGTTCAAAGGCTTTGAGAAATTAATTCAGTATTAACTATGTTATTATTAGACTAGGATTTTCTAAACCATAAAATTGTGCACAATAAGATTTTAAAAATATTTAGACTACTGAGACCAATAAAAAAAATGCATTGATTAAACATACCATCTCACAATGGTATTTCTACTTACCTCCATAGTGAAATATGCCATCTAATTGTTTTTAATCATAGTCATACATTTATTTCGTAGGTTGATTCTCCAGAGCCGTTTGGTGAGCAGGCCGAGACATGTCTGGCTACCAACTACTTCGGCCTGCTGCGTGTGTGTGATGCGATATTTCCTCTGCTTCGTCCGCATGCTAGGGTGGTCAACATGTCCAGCTGTGAAGGACACCTCTCCAAGATACCAGGACAGAACATCCGCGACAAGCTGACCGATCCTACACTAACTGTCGACAGGCTGACTGCCCTAGTAAGGGAGTTCATCGAGTAAGAAATACTTTCATATCAAGTAAGCTCGCAGTTTGTATGTTGGGAAAGGCTAAAACCTCTGGTCTTGCTTATGTAACGTCCACGTATTTTAATATTATTTAACAATACACAAACAGAAAGGCACCTAAGCTCAGAATCACCAGCAACCTGTGTTTAAACCTGCGACCTTCAGATTTGACCAAAAGCACTTTTACTACTACTCGGACAATATGTAGTCCATAAACATAGACACAACTAAAACCCGTAGGCCTAATCTTAGGTGGGTCATAATGATCGCTTTCTGGATGAGGAACTGTTACAGATGAGTTGGTTAAATGAGTTGGCTGGTGAGTTGGATAAATGAGTTGGCTGATGAGTTAGCTGATGAGTTGGCTGAATGAGTTGGCTGATGAGTTGGCTGATGAGTTGGCTGATGAGTTGGCTGAATGAGTTGGCTGATGAGTTGGCTGATGAGTTGGCTAAATGAGTTGGCTGAATGAGTTGAAGAACTGTGTTGTTGCAGTTCTTCCAGTAGCAAGACTTTATAACATGTAGTGAAAGTCTTTCATCGCACGACTGCCACTTTCAGATCAGCCAAGGCAGGGACATACCATGAGACAGGGTGGGGTCGCAGCTCCTACAGGGTGTCAAAGAATGCTGTCAATGCTTTGACATTCGTCCAACAGAGGGAGTTCGATAGAGACCATCGGCCTGACATTGTGGTTAATTCTGTCCACCCGGGTTTCTGTTCTACAAACATCACTCAGTTCCGAGGCGTTCTCACCCCAGAGCAAGGTAGGTCATGACTTTTGATTAACATATAGGCCTATTTAGTGTTTAGTTTATTGATTGAAAACACCACACGTATACGTATGCTAATAAAAATGTACCTCACCATAATCATTAGTCCCTTGTGAGATCTGAGAATGTTGAACTAGAATAGATAAATATCTTTAATGGATGCCTGTTAGTTTTTATCCCTACAACTAGCCCTGAAGCAAATAATTTTGCAAAAATGTTTGTGTTGCCATAGGATATTTATATTTTTCAAATCTAACTCAAACTTATTAGTATGATGAAATTCAATATTTCAATCATGATTTGTTAAACATGAGACCATAATAAAAGCCTAAGTATTGTCTCGGTTCATTGATTTCCAAAGACAGTTTATCCATAGTTTTCGTTTTCTGTCACTAATAGACTATCTTGCTATCTGTTGAGTTTCATTCAGTTTTACACTATTGGCTGCGTTTATTTTTCAGGTGCTGAGGCCCCTACTTACTTGGCTCTACTGCCTCCTGATGTTAAAGAACCCAGAGGCCAGTTCGTGTGGAAAGACAAAACTGTTGTCAGTTGGGTGGAACCACTTAAAGAGAGGTTTTAAAGGGCTCTCGAGGTTAATATTGATAAACTAAAATGAATTATAATTTGTAAACTAAGATAATAAGAAAATTATTGTTTTAATAAATTATTTTCTTTTCTTATAAAACTGTTTATTTTGTATTGTTGATAAACAAAAGTACCACTTTTAACGAAACGTCGCGGTCCCCTAAACAATAATTTATTGAAATTTATGAAATTAACTGTAACTAATACACTAACAGAGTGCTTTTAAATCAGTGGAGGACCCAGGGAGGTGCTAGTGGATAAGGAAAGATTTCCCATCTTCTATCGCTCCTAAAACCCTAAAAATAAGTATGCAAACCCTATATCCCATCCAAAAACCAATAATTACACATTACACAGATTCAAAACATTTTTCAGACTCCTGGTAACCCCTCCCCCACCATTACACAAATTTACTCTCTTGATCCAACCTTGTCCAGAAGACACTCATATTTATTTAAGTTTAACATATTCAGAGTAACGGTTTTTTTTACAATAAGATAATATAAACATAGGCCTACATATTCAATAAGACCTCTTCTTTGTGGTCCTAACCTATTAGGCCTACTAATAATCATAATCTCCTAAATATGTCCTAAATACTGATCATAATCATTAATGTTATGAAAAAAAATATTTTAATACTATTCAAAGTCAATGTATTAATTTTGACGTGGAGTTCGTTGATAATAAAATAAATACGAAAAAGATAAATCAGTTAGTGTTTTTCGATTTACGGAAGACAACGTTCTGCGAAAAGAATGTTTTGCTGAGGATACGTCTGTTGGACTACTGACAGCGTAATTTGAAAATTATCTGTCGGTAACGTAGATCGTAGTTCCCTCTGTCATCAATAGAATGCACTGCAAGCTAGACAACTAGCATAATGCCAAAGTTTGGTAATGTAAAAAAACAATTGAATTAATGGTTTTATTTTTATCCTGTAAAAGTGTCTTAATTATTGTAAGCATGACGGTAAAATATCAATTGAGTACGTGTTTGTTGTGTCCATATAGAATTCTATAAAAATTAGAATCGTATGAAATAATCGAGATTATCTGTTATCATTTTATTTATTCCTTTACCTAATTACTGTACACAGGGTGTATACAAACTTTCTGCTAACTTTGCATATTGTTTTTGTTAAAGTCAAACGAGCTTAAAACGTCCCAAGAATTTAAATCACAAGGATACTGTCAAACATACATGCAGCGATTTACATTTTGTACTACAACCAGCAAAAAAGTCTTTGTAACATGTGTTTAAGCCGACAGCAAATAAGTCGGTATAATGATTACAGCACAATACTTTTCTCATTTTCTGAAACAAAAAAAAAAACGGAAATAACCCTAAATAAGATTAATTTCGCTCAGATTTTAAAGTTTTAACCTACTGTATTAGTATAGTAAGTTAACTAAAATTCGGACATTAAAATAATTTTATTTTATCCTACCTAGTTTTGAATGAGGAAATAATTAAAATATAAAAATTGTGTTTTAGATGAATAGTAAAAAAAAAAACCAACGCTTGTGAACACAGAATACTTTTAAAAGTATGCATCGCGTGTGGGATTGCTCTGGACTCATTTCAAGTTGAATTGAATTTGTAGGAAGACTTGTTTGGATTTTACTTCAAACATTCTAAATATTCTAATCCTAAAAGGATTGCCAGGATATATGTTTTATACTAATTAATATTTGTTATGCTGTGTAAAATAATGCTTTAATAATTTACCTCCTGTTAATCATTATATACCCACTCTCTAAGTCCCTGTATTAGAGCTTGTATTTATCGTTAAAAGGATGTTTAAAAATATTTTATTGTGAAGGTTTGTGCTAATTTTTATTTAAATGTTATAATATATGAAATATATCAAACCAATTAAACCAATAAAAGTATACACTTTTCGAATCCCATACATGTTTATTTAATTGGATAATCGAAGATGGATAAATGTTAGGTGACATAAATTAAGTACCTTAGAGTTTTTACAAAAAACACCGTGCAATCAATATTTAAATTTTATATTCAAATAAATTATAATTTAATGTATATTTATTGAATTCAAAAGATACTATATTAAATATATATAATAAGGTTAATACCAGGTAATTATGTTAGACTGTAATGAATAAAACTGGCAAAGCTAAAAAAACTCATTGTGTTTGTTTACAATCCACCAAAACATATACCTGAATGTAACCTCAGGGTTCTACAGGGCTGTAATTAAAATAACACATTTTAATAGCACTTCCCTCATTAAGAATTAAAAAAAGCTTCTATTTGTTACTGTTTGTTGGTTTTACACTTAACAATCCTAAAAAAATAACTACAGTCTTATCTTGAAATTAATTCTTTTCAACGTTATCACGGGGGGGGGGGGCACTATACATCTTTGATCCTTGAAAAAAATGTAAATCTTTTAGGCTTAAGTACATAGTTAAGCCTAATTTGACCTTAAATATTATTTTTAAAAGTATTTCTGACTGACAAACTAGGAGAGCTCCAAACGTATCGACTGTCTCATGTTTCCATTGTTATAACTGTCACGTAGACTTCCCCAAGCAGTCGAGTTGGAAACTTATTCTTACTTTGAATATATTGGTTACATTATGAAGTTTTCCTTACACCATTTTGAAGACACGTTAGAGTATTGTTTTGTTGTGAGGAATTCGATGAAAAAGCGATACTTTTATTGCTGTGTTTGAATGTTTTTTCAACTCAAAGTCTAAAAATCAAATACATAAATATGACGATTTCATTTTAACAAGTCTGTTAAGATTAACTTTCCTTTAAAGATCCCCTACAAATACTTAAAATTACGTTCAAACCACAATTATACTATTTAAGGTATTCAAAGATATATTACTTTATCCTTAATGCTTTCAAACTGAATAACCCCCTATTGTACTTACTTTAATAGCACATTATCATTACATTTAAGTACGATGGTTTTACTAACCTGTCCTGTGAAAGCTTAAATTTATCTGAACGTCACTTTTACTCCCTACTAATAAAGAAATACATGTTTAAAGTAAGCGATTGATTTTGGTTTTTCAAAATCTTAAGATTGGCCAAACTCGTTTCAATGGAATGGCTGGATAATATTTTGTTTATGTGTGCATTAGTAAATTAATAATATTTTTCATACAATAAGCAAGTATGAGACGCCGAAGACGTTTCCCGCCAACGAGAGTAGTTGTATTTCCGGTCACGTGATGTCCCCCCTCCAAACTTGCTGCCAGACAGTAATATACACTTTGTCGATCATTGTAGATCGTGTTTTGTGGGACTCATTTCTGTGCACTAAAACTAAATATTAGATAAATAATTCGAGGCACTCTAAGATAATTTAAATAATTTCAAAATATTACAATCTTATTTCGTTTTACTAATTTAATATTCGAGGCTGTATGGATGTGATTAAATGTATTTATTTTATTTTTAGCAAAGAGATATTTTTCGAAGCTATAAATTAACAACTCTTAAAAAATAAAACATAACAGACTAGCTAAAGTAAATTTATTATTTGTATTTTATATTGACAAAAAATAACATGTAGACAATGCAAAACTAAACAATAGGTTGAATACAGGTTATTACGTTTTCCACACAATGAACAACAGTGTAATATGAATTCAATGAACCGCGCCAGCCGCAGGGAAGATTATTGTTCCAGCATCTGTTTCAAATGTTTCAGAACCTTTCAAAATCAAAATTAAAGTTGCGGTCGTTCAATTATGTTCAATTTCTGTTTATGTTATTTATGTTCAATTATGTTACTAGCTTTTATGTCCAAAAAATAAATTATTAACCACCTGTGGTTCAAAAATATAGATGTAAGTTAATTTTTTCCCAACTATAACAAACAACACATTTAGATTTCTATGTATTAATCCTACTAATAAAGTGAGAAAGTTTGGATGTATGGATCCGCCCCAGTGGCTCTAGAGTTCCCCATATTAAGCTTATGAGTGACTCAAGTTGGTTGTATGATATGATATTAAAAAGCATTAAAAGGTTATAAGGTTAACCAACAAGGGTGCAGCACAATTAGTTTTTTTTGCATTTATGACAACATCTAATTTGAACCAACTAGCAACAAAAAGCTGTGAAAAATGAGAATTTCCCTTTTTTATTGTTTGGTGCAGTAGACAAGTCTAGCCACAGGTTCGTTGAAAAGTATGGCCACAGGTCGACTTTGACTTTGAGTTTTCGTCTAGGTACAGGTTCGTCGAAAAGTATGGCCGCAGGTTCGACTGAGAACGTGGCCACAGCTCGAGTTTGAGTTTTTGTCTAATGGTCACACTGACCACAGCTTCGTTGAAAAGTATGGAGATTCGACTGAGAACGTGGCCACAGCTCGACTTTGTGAGTTTTCGTCTAGGTACATCGTAGGAGAATCAATACTTGTGAGCGCGGTGTGCACTTGGTGTTAGGGTGCAGTGTATAGCTTGTGTTTGAGACATGTGTACTTGCAACTTGTGTTTGAGTGTATGCGCTATTTACCGTGGAGATCATGGCGTGAGTATTGAAACTCTATCAGTGTGTTAGGAGGTTTGGAGTTGAGTAAGGTCAGGTTCTGAGGTGTGCCGTGGGTAAGGTCAGTGTTGGAGCGTCAACCTGTTTTTGGCGGTCGAGGCCTCTGGCGCTCACACTGCAGTTTTTCCTTATTGGGAGCTTGTGCTTCCTTATAGTACTGATGTTAAGGATGGTCAGGGTTTGTGTGAATGAGACAAGAGTTCTTTGTCATATGATTTATTAAAAAAATTATTTAAAAATCTCAATAATCGGGGATCTATTCGTGATCTCCGTACATTTTATTTTATAGCCTCCTCCAGCTATTTCCCCTATCTCTTCAGGGGTCAAGTTCATTGCAAAGCGCTTTGGTAGGAAAGTAATTACTCTCTTCTCTCCCATATCCAGCTCCGCAATAATGGATTTGCCGTAGGTTGGATGATTGTGTGTTTTCATCCCGACGATCGGGTATCCTGCCGGGTTTGACAAGTCGAGAGCACCAACCCTCTCTAGCCCCTCGACTGCCTTAAGTTGTTGCAGTTTTGCTTGGAAGTTGGCCATTCTGTAAAAGAGAAAATCCAGCTTAATCATAAATGTAAAAAAAAAAATTGTTAGAGGGGAAGTTCAATGCTGCAGAATGGAGCTTTGATATTTCTATATCTGTAATAGGATAAACTTGTGTTAAACTAATTCAGAAGTCATTGTTCTGAGCTGAACATATTAAATATTAATCTTACTGTACATCTTGTTGTAACCATTTGAATAACTGCATCAATGTGCATACATGGTGGACAGGGCGTGTACGGAACATTGCAGGTAACCTTGA